ATATCATTATTATTTATTATTATATCAATTGATTATCTTGATCCATAAATAAACAGCATAAATACTTTGTAAACATTTGTGTCAATAGAATACTGTTAAAACTTAACAAATTAATAGGACGCGATTGTATCGTCACTAATTAGAAAACTTTCCACGCATGGCAGGCAAGAATAATCGTGCTACCTCTAGTCAAATGATGAGAACAACTATAGTGAAAAGCTGTTAGATATACGGTCAGCCATATATATTATATATAATAATAGCGGTTTCAGCGTTTATTAGGCCGTAGGCCTGTCGCCGATTCTTAACATCGCAGAACATTCACAGCATTTTGAGGTCTCGAACTCACAACTCACTGCTAAAATTCTGCTGTGCTTAACCACCCGGCTTCCTCGCTGATTCTAACCAGAAACTGGCGCACAGAGCTGGGATCGAACCCGCGCCTCTCTAGTGCGTCAATCTTGGTACTCTGAACTGTAACCACTGGGCCACCCTGCCATATTGGCAGGAGGAACACCGCAGCAAGTGTCGAAAATAGAATAGTTTTAAAGAATCTTTGTCCTTTAAATTTAAGCGTTCACTACAATCTTAAGCCATTAATATGATTAGCCTTAAAACTATTTTCGTTTATTTCAATACGTAATTAATCGAATAGCCAGGCCCATTCTAGCGACTTTGTGAGATAGCGGGCTTGCGCTCTCGGGATTTTCGCTGGAGATAAGAGAACTGCAAGTTCCGCGACTAACTATTGGCAGTCTCCGCTAGCCTCTCCTGCAGTGACCAACTACTCGGGGTCAGTCTCATTATCTGCAGCCTACTTCAGGAGGCCATGATTGGACTTGAGTCGCTGACTATTCACTTATTTTGGACTTATGTTATGAGGGGCTAGTCCATTTGCTTCCTGGCATGATCTCCATGAGCCATCTCCTGAACCTGACATGATCTCCTGAGCCATGATCTCACCTGCCATATACTGTATCTTCTGCCAGAAGCTTCAGCTTCAGCTTCATGAGACGTAAGTCCGCCGTATCACTTTGTCGTGCCCAATTGAAATTTATGGCAGGGAATAGAGCAGGCCGTCGCCGGCTGCAAAGCCGACGTAGAGACGCGACAGAGCCGCGATAGAGCAGAAATGTCCGCATTAGAGACGATATCACCAGCCGGACAGCAGCGCTAATTAGCCTCTGAGTACCTGCCCAGGTGTGCTCTGTCCTGCCGTCACGCAGCCCTTACTGAGCACCGCCTGCTCAAACCTGCCCAACGCCCACTCTGGGGGGGCTCTGGCAGTGCAGGGGGCTCTTTAGCAAAGAGGGGCTCTTTAGCAAAGCGTGAATGACCTTCAACGTTTCTGTTATAGTGTTAAAACTGGAAGAGCATATAAAATTCTTACGTAATTCAACGTATTAAAATACTGACGTGAAATAAATGTCACAAATGGCACCGGAAATTGGCCCAAAATATTGTGCTATGCGAATTGACTAGATGGAGACAAGTACCAGCGCTAAAACAGCGCAGAGTTCAGGCCCTGCCGAGCTGCTAGAATTTTGTCTCTATATTAGCCATGGCGCAGCGCTGTTTTAGGGATAGATGGCCGGTTATAGTTTCACGGTTCCATCCTGCTAAAGCGCGACCAGCCCGGCTAAACCCGGCGTCGGTCTCGGCTCATAATTTTAACTGGGTGGGAGTGCGTGCCTGACTGTTTCGGAAGCTGACCTAGCTTTACTCTTCTTGACCTACTAAAATAAAGGTGCTCTACATATTAAATAGTTGTCGTGTTCTATATATTTGAATATTCTGAATATAAATTAGTTTTAAGGGAAGCGTCTGGGTGGCATAAAAACTTTTTTGTTTACGAACGGATCGTTTTGAAACTTTGTACACATATGTAAAACAGAATTCTAAGACTTTTTTGTGCGTGTAAACTTTTCGAAAAAAATGGAAGAAAACGTGAAATTCTTAGAAAACGGCCAAAAAGGGGTACCGCAGAAAACTATCTCCTCCTAGGATTTTGAAGCTACAACATCGAAACGCATATCATTCGATGCGTAAGGACCATATCTATCGATTCGTCGTAGCTTTTTTCGAATTTTTGTGGATGTGGGCGCATTTTTCCAAAAATTTTCGAAAAATTTTTGCTTTTTTCCAATTTCCGCCTTCTTTTTTCGAAATATTTTCAAAACTATAACGAAATTCGAAAAAACTACGCTAAATCGATAGATATTTTAATTACAAATCGAATGGTATATCTCCCGTTGCTGTAGCTTCAAAACTCTAGGAGGAGATAGGTTCGCCGTGACAAAAAGTTAACTTCTCAGGACAGCGCTACAAAGTCCCGCGCGCATAGGAATAGCCACTCAATGTAGCAAGGATACGAAACTAAGCGTTACAGGTGCTTGATTCCAGTCAAGGATGGTGGGAGCGACTGCTAGCACACCACCCCGTAGGACATCAGTCGGGCTACTGAAGCTCAACTCCAGCAGGCAGTCTATTTATAGTGGTCGGCGGCTAATTTCCACTATCTAATTTGTTAAAGAAATCCCCCACCTACCTCCATTTCATGATCTGCCCTGAACGCATAAATCAACGTACAGAGATGGTTTTGGTACCGTTGGATAGCTTAGAAAGTAAGCTTTAAGATGAGACTAAAAACTGGAAAAGCCAAAATTTAGATTTTGGACCCAGACGCTCCCCTTAACTGCATGTTGGCATGCAGTGTATCATAAGAAATAGACGGGTTGTGCCCCATGCAATAACTTGAATTGATAATTGATGAATAGATATATAGACCCATAATAGATTTATGGATCGATATAGCTAGATTTCAATTTAGTAATAGATAAATGATAACTTGAATATATTTAAACATAAATTCTTTCAAATTTTATAAGAAACGTATATTCATAGTTTAACATATATCTCTTGAAATTATTTGCAGCACTGAACAGAACTGCGTGGGTTCATTGGTCGCGGGGCGATCACGTCATGAGATGGTTGGGTCTTACCCGACCATACGCATTCTCCCGGCCCAGTCAGGCTATACCGGCCTACATTCTCATTTACTTTATGGATAAACGAAATAAAATTAGCCACAATTAATTGTATTTCAATGCCGTCTTTGACCCCATGCGCATAGTTTTCGTTAGCTCATACTTGGTTTCTCTGTAACAAACACAATACTGAGACATTTTCAGCTCGGGGAACAGTAAGCAAATGATGTAAGAGTGCAAATGAAATATTTTCAGTGTATAACTATAGAAACCAGTTCCATAAAGAAAGTAGTTTATGGAGAAAGCCGTGGACTTCGTGGCATGTGATCCAGCTCACAAACCGGCTTCCGTAACCAACACTCAAAAAAAACAAATGCTGTCTTCCCTACTGGACCCTACATGCCAAGTATGGTGTCTTATGGAAGCACTAGCGATATGAGCCACAGTTGGAGAAGGATCTCTCAAAATGATCAAGCAAGATAAATTCATAACGATGATGCACAATGCAGTCATAATGATGATGCACAATGCAGTCATAATAATGATGTACAATGCAGTCATAATGATGATGCACAATCCCTGTCAAAATTTTCGTGCCGATTAAGGTCGTTTTAGAGGAACTATATTCGGCTTAGGGGTGAATCAGGAGCAAGTCGGCCACGTAGGGTGTTTTGCTTCTATTTACCAGCCTCTTTTGGAAGTCAATTGCCCGGTAGGCCAAATCTGCGTAATATGCTTAAAAACAGCAGCTGGTCAAGCTTCGTCATGATGCCCCTGGTCAAACGCTGATGACGCTATCGCACGAT